CTAGTTTCAAGGTTTCAGAAAACGACAGTGTTTTGAAATTTTGTCATCAATACAACCAATTTATTACACGACTCGGGAAGTCAGAGGGCCAATAACTAAAATCAATCAAAGTGCTCTATTGCCGGTCAATATTGTCTCAGTATTAACCCTCTAACTCCTTACAATAGAAATATAATATCAAGCAGCCAAGCAATGAGAATAAAGAAAAATATCAATAAGAAGACTATAAGTTGATTCAATACCAAATTCTCCAAACAGTAACATCAAAAGAATTGTAGGACAGACGGCGAGGAGAATTAATAATGAGATCTAGGGGGTGAAAGAGTTAAGCAGCCGTCGCAATTTCTTTTTCAGGTGAATATTACCTTAGTACAGGTTTTCACGAATTAAATTGGTCACTGATATGGGTAACTTATTAAGCTGGACTGTGTATGATTCTTAACCTGCACAAAACGTCTGAAGAGCTTTTCTTCTCTAGTCTGTTAATGTGAGGCGGCGCGACACCTTTCCTCTCCGTTTTTATAAAGCAAGGATTGCATCTTTTCATGTCTTGCTTCTCCTTTAATTAAAGTGAGTACTAATCAACTTCTTGCAGTTCCCAGAACATAACTCTCCAAAGTGACCAGCATCTAATTTCCCCTTTACAATATCCCCCCTGAAACATTAAGGTTCGCAAGACGTGCCAAGATGGTAATGATCCAAGCAGGAACTGACCCAGCATAACAACAACGCTAATAATACGACGCATAACGCCTTCCTTTTTCAGATTTCATGTGCGCTAATTTTGGCCTCCCTTTTCTACCTTTGATGGGCCAGTGTTTGCTTAATGCCTCAAAACTTACATGGTGGTTTCCTGTGTGGTGCTTTGAGCAAGGGGGATGGCTCTTTGACTAGATCCCTGTTGATTATCTTGGGTGTTCGAGTCTGATTCACTGCCAATTCTGTTGAAAAATTCACAGCGCAGGATACTTTGAAACTCTCTCCTAAACAACGGATTCATACCAGCATAAATGAAAGGATTAATGGTGTTGGACAAATTTATAAAGAAAGCCGT